AGCTGTATGGTTTGAAAGCTTTTACCTAAGGAGTATGAGGGAGCATACATATATCGCTTTTGAATGAATTTGTATAATGATTTATTTGTCACAGAAATGGTTGGTACCCTTCACCTGGCTGGTACATCCCCAGTTGCTGCCAGTGTTGGCTGTTCACAGCTCACAGCTGCAGTCTTCTCTAGAGGGTTGCTCTAGGGCAAGGGAGTCACCTTGCCTGGGAGGTTGTGCCCTCCACCCCTGGGGGTGGGGTGACCAAGGACTGGCTGATGTGAGGGTTGATGTGAGGGTATAACAGCCCAGACCCCACACCTTTGGTGGGACCATCTCAGTTGTACGATTCACGCTCCAGAGTTTCCTGTGGGATCAGTCTGAGAGTAGACTTCAGCAGGAACCACATCCTTGCTTAGATTTCTCCCCTGCCTTATCCTGCTTCCCTTAATTCCAGTGGGTTTCTCTTGAGAGCACTTCGTAAGGAAATCACTTGCATGAGAATCCCATCTCATTTTTTTGCAAAAATATAAAAATCCATCCTAAAATTAATATGGAATCTCAAGGGACACTGAATAGCCAAAACAATCTTGAAAAATAAGAACAAAATTGGAGGTTTCACACTTCCTGATTTCAAACTTACTACAAAGCTATGGCAATCAAAACAGGGTGGTATTGACCTAAGTACAGACATAGAGATCAATGGAATAGAATAGAGAGCCCAGAAATAAGCCTTCATATCAAACGACTTGATCAAATGATTTACAACAAGAGTGCAAAGACCATTCAACAAGGAAAGGGACTGTCTTTTCAACAAATGGTATTAGGAACACTGGATAGCCATATGCAAAAGAATGAAGTTGGAACCTTATTACACCATGTACAAAAACTGACTCAAATTGGATCAGAGAGCTAAACCTATAAAACTTTTAAAAGAAAACATAGGGGAAACCTTCATACCATTGGATTAGACAGTGACTTCTTGGACATGACACAAACGACACAGATAATAAAAGTAAAAATAGACAAATTGGACTACATCAAAATAAAAAAATTTGATGTGTCAAAGGATCACAATCGACAGAGTGAAAAGACAACGCAAGGAATGGGAGAAAATATTCACAAATCATATATCTGATAAGTGATCAATATCCAGAATGCATAAAGAAATATAACTCTACAACAACAACAAAAACTCCAATTTAAAAATGAGCAAAAGATGTGAATAGATATTTCTCCAAAAAAAGATATACAAATGGCCAAAAAGCACATGAAAAGTTGCTCACTATTAGGGAAATGCAAAAATCAAAACCACAATGAAATGCCATTTTACACCCATCGGGATGGTTGTTACCAAACAAATGGAAAATAACAAGTGTTGGCAAATGTGTGGAGAAATTAAAACCCTCATGTGTTATTGGTGAGAATATGAAATGGTGCATCTGCTGTGAAAAATGGTATGATGATTCCTCAAAAAATTAAACATAGAATTACCATGTTATCCAGCAATTCCACTTCTGGGTACATACCCCACAAAAAGTGAAAGCAAGGACTCAAACAGATATTTGTACACTCCGTTTATTACAGCATTATTCACAATAACCAAAAGGTGGAGGAAACCCAAGTGTCCATCAACGAATGAATGGATAAACAAAATATGGTGTATCCTGCAAAAGGATTCAGCCTTAAAAAAGTTGGAAATTCTGACACATGTCCAATATGGATGAACCTTGAAGACATTAGGCTAAGGGAAATAAGCCAGACACAAAAGGACAAACACTGGATGATTCCACTAATATGAGGTTCCCAAAGCAGTCACACTTATAGAGACAGAAAGTAGAATGGTGGTTGCCAGTGACTGGGTAGGAGGAATGGGGAATTAGTTTTAATGAGTACGTGGTTCCAGTTGGGAAAGATGAACAAGTTCTGTAGATTGATGGTGGCATTGGTTACACAACACTGTAAATGTGATAATGCCACAGAAATGTACACTTTAAAATGGTTAAAATGGCAAATTTTACAAGCAGCGCACTGTAGCAGTGCGCCACCGGGCTGGCCCGGGGAATTAGTTTTAATGAGTACGTGGTTCCAGTTGGGAAAGATGAACGAGTTCTGTAGATTGATGGTGGCATTGGTTACACAACACTGTAAATGTGATAATGCCACAGA